AAAAAAAAAAAAAAGGGCAGTGGAACCCATTTAGGAGTTCCTAAAACTGAGCAGGGGAACCCAATAGGCTTATTTCCAAAGAAGACGGCCAGCCATTACATGAGAAGTTGTTTTCATTGGTGGTGTTCTTCTACACTCAACTTCCAACAGAGTATCTGGGGGTCAAGGCTTCCCCACCTCAACAAGTAATTATTAGACTTCAGGAAGATGTCTGTGAATTCAAGGCAACTTTAATATTACCTACCTAGAGATGGCTCCAGACTGCCCAGGCTCACGGCTCACTCCAAGAAAACGGCTGCAAGTACCAGGAAGTCCATGCATCATTTGGCCTTATAAATCGGCGGTCTCATAAATCTTATAAATCAGATCTTATAAATCTCTTATAAGTAAGAGATTATCGGGCCCTCCTGGTGGCACAGCACTAAGACAGCCACAGCCACTACAGCATAAGTTCGATCACTGGCCAGGGAGTGACCCACATGGCCCAGCAGACATCTCCTGACTCGCTCGCTGCTCCCCTCAGCAGTATACTTCATTGATCTGCCTGTTGTGCTCCCCACTCTGTCTCTGTTGAGTCCTCTCACCACCCCTGCACCTCTGGCCTGTATCCCAGTTCTGTATGCATAAATAAATAACTCAGAGATTATCAAGACCCTCTTCTCAAATTTCAGATTGCTTCCACAAACCCCAGATTATTATGTGTGCTTCTGACTAACTGGCTCAAATCAGAGGCTCCCAGAACACCTGTCTCAGATTCCATTAATTTGCTAGAATGCCAAAGGAAACCCAGGAAATCCATTTACCCATCACTGATGTATTGCAAAGATATTAAAGGACACAAATCAACAGGCAAATGTGCAAACACAGGAAGGGATGGAAAAGCTTAGATCTTCCACGTACCCTCAGGCACCCCTAGTCCCTCACATCTTCCCGTGTTTGCCAACTCAGAAACTCTCTGAAGCCTTAAACTGTTTTTGTTCCTTTGCCCCACAGTAGACACATTGTCTGGGGTTTTTCCTTTAGACTTTTCCCCCACAAGGAGTCAACACTCCCCCTAGTGGCTCGCTCGTGAACTTACCTGCTGGATTATGGACGCAATCTGACCTCAGCCAGGTGCTCCGTGGTACCATGGAAACTGGAAGACTTTGCTTTCGTTATTTTCAGGGAGAAGAAGTTCTCTTTTCCCTTGTCTCCTAGTCTGCCAGAATCACATTAAAGGGAAGTTCTGGGCCTGACATTCCCTGGAGGCTATCTCGGTGGTCTGCATATTTTTCCTAATATGGGGTCTGCGGATGCCACAGTTGAAAATGTTGGCGAGGATGTAGAGAAAAAGGAACTCTCCTGCACTGCTGGTGGGAATGCAAACTAGTATAATCACTATGGAGAACTGTTTGGAGGTTCCTCAAACTGCTAAACATGGAGCTTCCCTACGACCCAGCAATCCCACTCCCAGGTATCTACTCAAAAGACACAAAAACTCTGATTCAAAAAGACACCTGCACCCCCATGTTTATTGCTGCATTATTTACAATTGGAAAGACATGGAAACAGCCCAAATGCCCAAAAATGGATGACTGGATTAAAAAGATGTGGTACATACACACAATGGAAAAAAAGAAACACATGCCTTTTGCAACAACATGGATAGAGCTGGAAAAGATCGTGCTTAGTGAGATAAACCAGAAAGAAAAGGGAAAAAAACCGAATGGTTTCACTCATAGCAGGAGTATAACAGACCAGGCAAGAAAATAATAATAATAATGATGAAGAACAGCTCTATACCAGAGACATTTTATGGGGGTGGAGTGGGGATGGGATCAAAAACCGTGGGGGGGAGGGAAATGCACTGGACTATGGTGATGGCACACGGGTGATTTGGTGATGGGAAGCCCAAGGGGATTACAACTGAGATGGGAAAATGCACAAAATGATGTAAAAATGAATTATTATTAAAAACAACAACAACAACAATCAGTTGAGCCTCCCTGCAACCCCCCACTTCACAACTCCTGACCGAGAAGCTCTTCTTGCAAGTTGGTGTGGGGGAGTTCTGCTGTCACCCTCCTGGTTTTGGGGTTCATGCAGAAGGCGGCTCCTTCCAAGACAGAGGTGCCAGCCTTCCCATCTCAGTGGCCTCCTACTTAATCTCTCTGAGCCTCACTTTCCTCACATGTCAAATGAGATCCTTTGGGTTTTCTGCTGGGAGAAGACGCTGCTTATCAGAATAGCTTGGAAGGCCTTTGATGTTTCTTTCTTCTCTCTCACGAAAAGAACAAAAAGCTCCCCATTCTGAGCCTTCCCAGCAACACCACACCCCCCCCCAGTTGTGATTCCCCCCTCCCAAGTCCTCCCTCCCCTCTCCCAGGCAAAACTCTGCAAAATCAACCTGTTTTAAAGCTGGAAAAATGTGGGCATCTGTGGGTTTGTTCCAGAATGCGAGGTTGGGGGTGAGGGGATGAATTTGACACCTTTTCTGGAACTGCCCCACAAATTGAGGCTGGCTGACCAGCCCCAGCCCAGCCGGGGTCCAGGTCCGGCAGGTGGAACAGGTAGGGCCTGCCAGACCTCACCGACAGAGGGCAGCATATACCCATGTCAGTGCCTTTCCAGGCAAAACAACACAAAGTGGGCCTAAAATGCTGGGGAAAGGGAACCAGGATTAACAGTCTACTTGGGCAAATAAAATGAAAAGCTCTTTAGAGCTGTCTGGAACAAAACCCAGGTCTAGAGCAAGATGGGCGGCAATGTTCAGAAGCAGGAAAATGTCTTTGAACGCTCCCCAGTTCCCTTTGCGTGCCCGCCCAGCTTCTCCAAGTGTAGGTTTGGGGACTGAACTAAGAATTAGCCAGAGGTGAAGGGTTTCAGGCCCCACCCAGACCCACCAAGTCAGAATCCACCCACATGATTTCCAGGTGATTCGTGTTGAAGGTTGAACAGCACCGAATAGCACCCCTTGTCTACACAGTCCCACCCCCAGAAACCTGCCTGGTTCCCTGCCCTCACTCCCACCTGCACCCCAACACCTCCGCAGCACTTTCCTGCTGGTTTGAGGCTTTGCTGGGGGGAGTGTTGGGGTGGGGGTGGGAGGCTGAGTAAGCAACTCTCATTTCCTCCTGAGGCTGCTCACAGGCCTCCATCTGGACTTGTCAGCCCCTTAGCAGCTTAGTTTGCCTTTGGGTAACCCAGAGATGCCCCAGGGACATGAACTCACACAGCCTGAGGTCCAGAGCTGCTTAGAATCAGCATAAAAACAGGAGGCCTTGAGTCCAGCACCAAGCTTTACTGATTTTCCTTTGGAAGCTTGTTCCTATAAGCTAAAAAGGCCAACCCTTGTAATCTTAAACCACCCTGGGGAGGGCTGTCTCCAGGGAAGCTCAGCACCTCTCTGAGGAGGGATTTTTTTCCAGAATGATTCTTCTTGTCCAGTCCTCATGAACCGGCAGGGAAGTTGCCCCCCACAGCCCACTGTGCAGGAGAAAGAAATCATGGACCAGAACAGGGGGGTGAGTAGCAGCCTCAGCACTGATGTGCAGAGGAAAGGACTCATGGAACACTCCAGTTGGGCCCTTGGAGACCCAAGGGGGTCATAGGAGAGGCACTTTGGGGAAAACAGCTGTCACTTGGAGCTGCTGTGCTCAAGTACGCTGGTACCAGGAGCACTGGCCTGGGAAACCCCAGGGTGCAGGAGCCCCGGGAGAGCAGCCACACAGAGCCTGTGCAAGAGGTGTGTGGGGAGGGTGTCAGCCTGAGGGTAGGGAGAACCTGAGCTGGAGGGAAAAGGCAGAACCCAGAAGTAAGGCAGTGAGGATACCCTGATGCCTCAGGATGTTTCCCCGTACCCCTCAACCGCCTTTATTCCGCACCTCAGTTTCCTCTTCCTTTTTGCACAGGAGGAAGGAAAAGGACTAGACAGGAAGAAAGTCGTGTTCCTTCCTTAAGGAAGTATATGCAGGAGGGGAAGGGAAGATCCAGGCCTGCTCTGGAGGCTGACTGGCATTCTCCTGGCCTCGGGCCTGTCCCAGCTGAGCTCCCGTCCCTTCCTCTCTGGGCCTCTCACAGGAAGCTTTCCAGTTTCCTCTCTGTTAAGAAGCATCACCACAAACACCATAAAAGTGACTTAACTCTCCCTGAGTCTGGTCTCTGAGACCCAGTCCCAATTCCCCTAGGTCTTCTGCTCCTTTCTTGTATATAAACCCAGTGAAAACATGTTCGCCTGGAGCCGGCCCTGAATCCTGTTTCCAGGGTTTCAGGCTCAGGCAGTCGGAGGCCTTGAAAGTGAGCTGCTGGAGAAGGTCTGAGAGGTGGCTGAGGGCACACGGACTCCAGGCATTTGCCCTCATGCCCTGTACCCTGGAGTGTTCCCACCTGGAAGGGTGCTGGGTCCAGGGCATTGTTTCCGATGGCGCATAGAGCAGGACCCTCAGAGTCACCACAGCTGCCGCTTCGGTTTTGCTGTTGGTTTGGAGGTCAGACCTGACGTTGGTGAGGGCCCCTGTTTCCACTGCCAGCTTCACCCACCCTGCCTAGCCAGGTTCTCCCCCCCAATCAGGTCTGGACACCAGGCGCTCCCTCCACTCCCCATGAAGCCCCCTCAGCCACACCAGGCAGAATCCTGGAGTGAATCATGGACAATGTGATGCTCTCTTAGCGTTTTCCTCAGACTGTCTAGACCAGGAAGTTACAGAAGCCTCTGCCCTCTCTGTCTTTCCTCCCTCTTCCCTTCCTCCCTCCCTCCCTCTTGTCTTTCTTCCTCCTCTCCTCCTTCCTTCCCTCTGTTCTTCCTTCTTCCCTTCCCGGCACATTCTCTCCCTTCCCCTCCTTTCCTTCTTCTCTCCTGAAGCTTCCTAAGGGCCAGAACTGAGCCCTGCTACATTCGCCCAGCTCGTTGACTCAATGAAGAGTCAATATTGACTCAATGAAGAGTCAATATTATCAGATGAATGAATGAGTGAATGAATGAATAGATACAGTCTCCATGGTGGGCACGGGTAGAAATAGGACCAACTGCTACTTTTCCAGACCATCTTTGAAAGCTTCAAAGGAAATGTGGACAAGGTTGGCACGTAGCTGACCATTCCTCAGCAACAGAACTTGTGATAGAGGCAACTTGTATGTTCCAATAAGCCCTACGTGGCTGTCTGGACACAGCCTGTGTCTAGACTTCAATCTTGCACCTCCGTGACTCCCTTAAGCCGTCATCTTGCAGGTCAGAACTAGAACATTGTGTCCACAGTCATGTTCAGGCAAGTACATAATGTGATGGGTAAGAGCCACTTCACAGCCTGCTGTGCCTGCCTCCAGGAGGCTGGGACCAGAGCAGTTACTGGAGGACACTCAGAGAGATCGTGGGGCCAGCTGACATAGAGCCAGACCCCTCCTGGACAGCCCATACCTGCCCACAGAGAGCCCTGGAGGACTCTCCCTGTGGATACAGGTGTGGGCTGGGCTCGGCAGGGCTCATGCTTGTGTGGATCAGATGTGCGTCTCAGTGTCTCAACAGCTAGCCAGGGCTGTGTTCCCGAAAACTGTGCAGGTGTGAGGAAAATTATTATCCTGGTGGCAGGGACAGCCAGGAAATAAGCAGCCAGGTGAGAGCTTGAGGCTTCTGGGGCTAGAAGCCAGATGCCTCACAGAACTGTGATGGAAACCCCAGGACACTCCCAGAAACCACCGCTTGATTGCCTCTGACATGGGAAATGGATAAATCTGGCTCAGAATGGTGTAAGACACAGTGTCCCTGAAGAGACTGTTGTGTCTTCATCAATGGAAACTGATGTGTAGAGTGAAAGTTCAAGGCTTGAAATAAAGTCAGAGATGAGTGATAAGGCCCAGAGAAGAGGAAATAAATCCCTCCCTCCTCCCCAACCGGGCTGCTCCCAGGTGAGGCCCAGGAGGAGAGGTCTAGACATAAGAGTTTGTTATTATCTGAAAACTAAACGAGGCTAATGCAGAAACAAGTATTGAGAGAGCCGAGGCCCTCCCTGGGGGTGCGATGGGTTAACACACAGCACTATGAAGCTCTCCGCAGCCACTGCAGCACAAGTTCAATTCCCTGCCGGGGAGGTGACCCACATGGCGCGGCAGACCTCTCCTGACCTGCCCGTTGCTCCCCTCAGTAGTGTACTTTGTCGATCTGCCCATTCTTCTCCCGACTCTGATGAATCCTCTCACCCCCTTGCACCTCTGGCCTGTACCCCAGTTCTTGTATGCATAAATAAATAACTCTTTCACTTAAAAAAAAAAACATATTGAGAGAGTCAAACAAATCCCAAAATTATGGCAGAACACAAAAGAGCTCATTTCCTCTCCCTCAGACGCAAGTAATCAATGCGCTGTTTCTGTACATACATATTTCGCTTACATTCACCTACATTCTAAGAGCAAAACTAGCTGAGGACTCAAGCAGAACCAACACTGTCTCTATACCAACCCCAGGAAAACTGTACCAATGCCATGAAACCAGGGTCCTGAGGATTGTTCTAGAGATACTTAGATGTTTTTGTAGATGACTAATGATAGTGGGAATTCTGAGAAAGCATGGTCTGCACATTCGGGTACCCCATGTAATGTTGGGGGGGTCCCTGCATTGAGTGATCACCCTACTCTTGGACAATAGGACATTTTGGAACTAATACTCAGTCCCCTAAACAGGCCTGGTGACCCAGCTGTGAATAGAGAGGAAAAGCACTCCTCCTCCTGTCCATGTGTGGGATGGCAGAGAATTTTCTGGGGTAAAAATGAGTGGAAGGCTCTCCCTGGTGGCGCAACAGGTTAAAGCACCGCATTGTGAAGCTCTCTGAAGCCACTATAACACTTGAGTTCAATCCTGGCCAGGTTGCTGACCCACATGACATGGCAGACCCCCCCCACCCCCACCCCCACCCACCCACTGCTCCCCTCAGCAGTGTATTTCTGTAGATCTGCCTGTTCTGCTCCCCACTCTGGTGAATCCTCTCACCCCTCACACCTCTGACTTACACCCCAGTTCTGTAAGCATGAATAAATAGATCTTAAAAAAAAAAAAAAAATTCTGGGCCGTCCCTGGTGGCGCAGCGGGTTAAAGTACAGCACTGAGAATCTAAAGCCGCTTCCGCATGAGTTCGATTCCCGCCTGCCCCGGAGGTGACCACATGGGTGGCAGACCTCTCCTGACCGGTCCGCTGCTCGCTGCTCCCCTCAGCAGTGTACTTCGTCGATCTGCCTGTTCTGTTCCCCACTCTGTCTCTGGTGAAGCCTCTTGCCGCCCCTGAGCCTCTGACCTGCACGCCAGTCTGTATGCACAAATAAATAAATCTTTAAAAAAAAAAAAAGTGAGTGGAGGTGGTGAGAGGAACATGACTTAATGATGTGTGAGAAGCAGGATGGCTCTTGAAGGCATTATACCAAAGGAAATAATTCAGAGAAAGGCAAACACCATAGGCTCTCACTTAACTGTAGAATCTCCTTTAATAAAGAAAAAGAAAAAAGCAACCTCATAGAAGAATAGATGGAGGGAAGGGGTTAAAGGTACCAACTTGCAGGAGTTGGATGAATGAGGATGGGAGGAGCCCCCCAGAGGACCACCACGAGTATTCTTGCACACTCCATAGGAAAGCCAAGGCAGTAAATCTAAGGAGCTCTTATCACAGAGAGAAATCTTTTTCTCATTGCTTCTTCCTTCTTTTCTTTTTATTGCGATGTGAAATGAACTATGCAGACATTTCATAGTGGATATAAATCAAACCAACATGCTGGGTACCTTAATCTTACACATTGGTGTATGTCAGTGATGTCTCAATTACTGATTGATGGCTTGATGTCACGTTCGAGGTAGGAATTAGACTTTTGTGCTGTGACTCGGGGAAGGCCAGCCCTCAGCATGACATAAATGCAGAGCCTACCGTTGGTCCAGGCTATGAGGGATGGACACTATTCAGCGACCCTGTTTACAAATCCTTCCGCTTTGTACTTAGTCAAGCCCCACTTCTTGGCAGTGTTAATCTTCAGGCCATCGTTGAGCATGAACTTGACTATGGCAGTACCTCAGTTGTCTGCTTTTCTGCAGTGGATGTGATCACTTAGGGAATGTGGACCACGGTGTCCCTGGGCTTGCAAAGGCACCCCCAAACCTGTGTGCAGGCTGTCGACCCCAGCACCGGACCTCACAATGTGGATGGGGTACAAAGGGTGGAGCCGCCCTTGGCTGAAAGCCATCTCTGCCCTGGCGCCCAGCGTGTATGTGTTGGTACTTACATGGGCAGACACCCCAGCTCCAGTGAAGAGCAGTTCATGGTTGTCTGATTCCACACGGCCACAGGGTGGAATATCATTCCCTTGTGTTTGCTTCTGCCCCAGGTCAGGGACGCCGATATTGGCATGAGGGGGCACCTGGACAGGAATGAGACTTAGGGTACAGCTTGTTCTTGCAATACCGGTAACACCAGATGGCACAGCAGCCCCGGCAACACCAAGACCTTCTACCCAAGGGGGAGAGGGGGAAAAAAAAAAAAAAACTTTTAAATGAAAGGAAACTAAGAGGGAAAGTCCAATAAGAAAAATTTTAACAAGGGTGGGCTGAGAAGCTTGATATTAGTTTATTCTGCACTCAGGAAAAGAGCAGTCCCCCTCAAATTCCCACAGGACATGATTGACACCCAAGGGCTATTGCTTTTATTTCTGGTTGCCAGAGATGTCCACAGGAGTATCTACATTATAAGAGTGTGTGGGCCCAGCAAGCAGATAGAGAAGCCCAACTACAATGTGTGAAGGTGTTCAAGCAATTTATGTCTTAAGTAAATATTTGTCTATCTTGGTTCCAAGGGTAGCTTCCTTTGAAAAGATTTTTTGATAATGGACGCTGAAGACAGTCCAAATCTGCAAATATTGGTTTTCATCTCTGCTTCTTAAAATCAACATCCATATAGAGCTCTGGTTTTGGCAACGCTACAAGGCTGAAGCCAGGGTTCAGTCAGGACTAACTCTGGGCACAGGCCCTGACTCACGTTTACACAGATGACTGGCAACAAGACACAAGCTGTTGCCAGATGAAGACCCTTAAGGACACAGTGTGGTCATCTGTACCTCTGGGAATTTGTGACCCGGGGTAATTTTCAACACTTCCGGGCCTTGGTAAAGTGAGTAGTAAGATCTTCTAAATGTGGGAATCACTTGAGTTAATGCCTGTTGAGTGTTTGAAGTAATGCCTGACAGGGAGTAAAACAGAGTTGAGTTCTGGAGCCAGGTGGCCTAACTCTACCCACCAGCTCCTCCATCTCAGCAGGTTTTAGCTTTTCTCCTTTATAAAAATGGCATGACAGCACTTAGCTCTTTCGGTTATTGTGATGGATAAGTGAGGATATCTGTGCAGAGTTTATGGCAAGCAAAAGTAGAAGTAGGATAGAAGTTTATTCTTTTCGATCATGTGGAAGCAGATTGGAGGAAGGCAGTCCAGGGGTGTTATGCATGATTTAAAGAATCCAGGCTTTATCTAGCCTGTTAACTTTATCCATCCTGCCTCATGATTCCAGTAGGCTGCTTGAGCTCCAGGCATTATTTCCACACTCCAGACAGCGGAAAGGAAGAAAGGGAAAAAAGGGCTGGGATAATGCTATTAGCTTCTAGAATTCTCAAGAAATGTCTTCTTAAAAAATTTCATCCCCTTGGGCCCTCCCTGGTGGTGCAGCGGGCTAAAGCACAGCACTAAGAAGCTAAAACCACTGCAGCACTATTTCGATCCCCGCCCAGGATATGACTCACATGGCGTGGCAGACCTCTCCTGACCTGCCCGCTGCTCCCCTCAGCAGTGTACTTTCACGATCTGCCTGTTCTGCTCCCCACTCTGTCTCTGGTGAATCCTTTCACTGCCCCTACATCTCTGGCCTGTACACCAGTTCTGTATGTGTAAATAAATAAATCTAAAAAAAAAAAAACATTTAATCCCCTCTGCATGGTTAGCATGGAATTAGGATATTTTCTCAGCTACTATATATTTATTTCTATAAAAATAATTAGGTACTTCTCTGCATTAATAGTCAGAAGACATTTTTCCCCAAACAGTATTAAAGATTCATCAATAGTCTTACTATTCAACTTGGAAGTTACCTAAGTAACTTGCAGTTGTTTGTTTGTTTTAAACAAGTTACATGTGTGTATGATCTTGCAACCTAGGGGCTGATGCTGTATTTTTTATCATTTATACTTTATGGAAGCTGCTCTTTGATACTATTAACTTTGAGGGAGTCAGAAGTTTGAGGACCTGGGAACTTTGATGTCCTCCTTGATCCCAGACCCTGCTTAGGACCCTCTAGGAGAAAGAATTCACACAATGGTTTGGTATAAACCAGGCAAGGTTAGTTAAAGCCTTGCATTTGAGCACAAGGGATACAGCCCCAAGAATAGGAAGGATTTTAGGGTGTTCCTTTGAGGGGAATCTGGGACTAGTTAGCAGACTTTAGAGATCTTATCCCTTTCTTTGAGGCCATCTGCATCCTCCAGAGCTCACAAGTTTGATCTTTCACAACTCCAGCTGTTATATGCCATTAGGGCTATTTACAAACTCATGGAATGTCCCCATCCCATACAAAATGGAAGAATGTCACAGCTTAAGGGCAGGAGAGAAACAATGTGTAAATGAGAACAAAGTAGAAAAATGCAGTCTCCTCAGTGACCATCATGTCTCCCCTGGCCCAGTTTCTGCCCCGCCTTTCCACATTCCCCCTTGGAAGAATTCACACACACAAAAATCTTCACTTTATGTGGGTATTAGATTTTTGAAGCTCTGAAATCATATTGCCTTCACAGAACTAATAAAAAAAAATATGTCCAATGACCTCTGACTCATTTACTCCCATACATTTCAAGCTTGGCAAGTTGTTTTGATGATGGCCTTTCCTTTTCTCTTCACAAAAGACTCAACTGATGCTTCATTATGTGCTTCCAGACAGCTCTGCACAGTCAGTGAGTTTCTTAAGAGGGTGTGCCCATTTCTTGACCAAATCTTGTGATTCAAATGGCAATTCAAAGCCCTGATTCTGATGAAAGTGATGATGTCTGCAGCCGCAGACAAGACTTCTTTCAGGATTTTCGCAGAGTACTTGAAATTTATAATGAAATTTAGAGCCTCCTCAGAGGCTGAAAGGAGGCCCTCCCCAGTGCTCAGGCATGCACCACCGCCTTAGCCCATGTTAACTCCTTCAAGGTTCTCATTGGTCTATGAAGTCATTGTACTCATGAATTTTGGGGTGCCCCATTACATTTTGAGCCAGAGGTGGGCTCCCCTAATTATCTTGGTCTTGGAGGTCTTGGAGATGGAAAAAGTTGGGGGAGTAAGGAAGGAGGATATCTAAGGGCAGTATTTGTTTCACAGAACCAGCAGTCACAGCAAATCACAACTTCCCCTTTGCCCACACCCTCAACTGGTTGTTAAACATTTGTCAAAAGATGCTGACAATCACCATCATTGCCAAAATTCCTTCATCTTGTTCCTCCATTATTTCTCTGAATGTTCACAAATTGGCTGTAAATGAAGACCTGCGCCCCCTGGAGGACAACACTGTCCCTGTAGCTATTTCTAGAGGGCAGGTTTTCTAAGTCCATCTGCACATCTGTGATCTTAGGTAGAGAGCCTCTGGATATTTTTAAGTCTGTTTCTTCTTTCAGAGTTCCAGATATTGTGAACATGACATCAGAATAAAATCCTACTATACCTTCTATTCACCGCAGGGTCATTCTTCCACAGTTTTTAAAGCTTTTAGCACTTTTTACTTCTCTTTCTGTCCTTATTCTCAGTGAATTTTCATATCCATATAATTCTTGCTGTCTCTGAAGTCACCGTTAATGAAGCCCCTCAATTTTGATGAGCCTCCACTTTTTTCAGTCACTACCAATAGCTACTACCATTAAATCTCAAATTGAAGTATCACAATCCAACTAACACCTTTTACCCCAACTTATTTCTTTAAATACTCATACTTCATCTTTGACATCATTACGATTTCTAATTGACTTTCCATCACCACCATGGATAGTGAGTGTCTTCTCCCCCAGCCCTTCCATCTCTCCAGCTTAGATTTCAGGTCTGGAGGTCTGGGGTGGGCCTTAATTTGACTTGACAAATGGATTTTTTCACATTCCAGCAGAAGAGAAAAAGGAATGGTTTAGAGTTTTGCCACAGGACTAAGTTTTGCCCTTTGTCATAATTCAAAGATATCTGAAGTTTCTGGATATCCCACATGGAACACCATAGCAACAAGAGGGAGCTGAACCCTAGTCACTAATCCACCAGGAGGCACCTACTGTATCAATGACATCATGCTAGTTAGACCTGCTGAGCAAAAATAACTGACACATTGGGGGCCTTAGAAAGAAATGCGGACTCCAGATGCCATCTGGAGTCACACAATAGTGATGAATGTCTTGGCTGGTGCAATATTGTGATTGATAAGAAATATGTTCATTCATTTGGATGACAAAAATATATATACTTTAAAAAATTGTTTTTATTTACTGATGCATACAAGAACGGGGGTGTAGACCAGGCATGAGGAGGGTGAGAGGATTCAACAGAGACTGAGTGAAGAAGAACCAGCAGATCCACTGAGATACACTGCTGAGGGGAGCAGCGGGCAAGACAGGAGAGGTCTGCTGCCCCCTGTGGGTCAGCTCCCGGCCTGGGGATCGAACTCGTGCTGCAGTGGCTGGTGATAGCTTCATAGTGCAGAGACTTACTCCTTCGTGTAAGACAACTGTGGTTGTCTTCACCTATACTTCCTGATTCACAGCCTTCCAAAGCCTCAGAATTTTCTGTGCTGAGAGTGATCAAGCTTTCGTTAGGAGGTGCCTAAGCCTGTGACAGGCTGGTTGCCTGGTGAGAGAAGCCACAGTGTGCCGAGAGCTTGGGGCTTTCAGGCCCACCCCAGACCTCCAGGGAGGAGTGAGGGGGCTGGTGGTGGAATCAATCACACTTATATAATGTGTTAAGTCAATGAGTTAGCCTATCATACTTATATAATGAAGCCTCCATAAAAATCCCAACGCACAGGGCTCTTTCTCTGAATCAGTGAACATGTAGAGATATAGGCAGAGTGGCACCCCTGAAGGCTCATGGGACCTTCATGGACAGAACTTCCCCCATATCTTGCCCTTCACATGACTTCTACCTGATGGTTCCAGTCTTTTTGTCAGAATTAACCAGTGAGGAGCCCTTCCTGGTGGTGCACTGTGAATCTAAGCCAAGCTGTGGCAGCTTCAGAGCTCAATCCCCACCCCGGAGGTGACCCACATGGCACAGCAGACCTCTCCTGACCTGCCCGCTGCTCCCTTCAGCAGTGTACTTCGTCAATCTCCCTGTTCTGCTCCCCACTCTGTCTCTGGTGAACCTTCTCGTCATCCCTGAACCTCTGGCCTGTACCCCATTTCTATACACATGGATAAATAAAATCTTTAACAACAACAACAAAAAAAGAATTAGCCAGTGATCTATTCAGTAAAAAGTTTCTCTGAGTTCGGTGAGCCACTCTAACAAATCAATCAGACCTCTGGTTAACAGCCCAGGGAGCCTGGACTTGCAGCTGCAGCGGAATTCTAAGGGGTGAGCTGTGAGAACCTCTATTCTGTAGCTGCTTGGTGGGAAACACAGTAAATTGCCTGGCTTGTAAGTGGTGTCTGCAGAGAAAGGGGGTTCTTGGGAGACGGAGCCCTTTCCCTGTGGAATCTGGTGCTGTCTCCAGTTATATGGAGCCAGTGCTGAGCTGGATGGAGATGAATTCTTGGACACCCCATTGGTGTGCGGAAGCCTTGTGCAGAAATGGGGTACAGGAACCCTTTCAGCAAGCTGGTCAGGGACCTGAGACCTGAAAGATGGACACCTGATGGGCTCCAGGAGGAGGTACAATGCGTGAAAGTCCTCACCGTGCATCACGGAAGACGAGGCCACCAGAGTCAACATCCCAAAGCCTGTGTCACCCTCAGCCCCATGCTGGCCCTGCGGTCACATGACCGAAGCTTCATCAGGCACTGCAGCCACAAACCAACGGTCAAACCACACACCTTGCATGCTGGGAAAGCCAGAGATTTGTTCAGACAGTACAAACACATGGATTTTCTTTTCCCACCAAGAAGGCCTCAGCCAGCACCATCCTCAGAAGTCTCTCTGCTGTTACTCCCACATACGGTACATCGGCCCAGAAGGTTCACTTTACAACAGAGGCGTGAGGGCAAGCACATGACCAAGGAGTCACCGCTTGTATCAGGCCCCACCACCCCCAGACGCTGC